TCGTAGCGCCAGAATCTGGTCAAACTGCACCAAATTCAACACTACACTTCCTTGGGTCCTTAGTAATATACTGAACAAGTATTAAGAGATCGGATGAACGGTTGTCCAGAAAATCAAAGGGCAGACATACAGAGACTCCTTCCTTTATAGTTAGATGCTAAAGTCAACAGTTATCATATAAGTTCAGCATGTAGGCAACAATTGCTAATTAGCACCAAACACAAAGTACAACTGAGGCCGTTTTGCAGGTATTTGTATTGTATAAGTAAAATTACTGTTTTGACCTGATGAAGTTGCTTGAAAAGTGACCTGATTACCAAAGTTTTTATAATTCATCATCAGAGCACCAGTGAATGTCTGCGGAAGCTTTTATGGCAATCCATCCAATAGTTGTTGAGATATTTCAGTCTGGACCACTGACACTATATAATTAGTGGACAGAGCTTCTGGGTCTGTGAAGTGAAGTCAATGCGAAAGTGTCCAGCAGTGAGCAGCTCCATGGGCTAAAGTCTGATAGTACTGAGTCTTATAGAAAGAATTTCCCCCATTTCACAGTTGATTTATGAGCTCAGTAAACAGTTTCCTGATAAGTTTATAATCTCAATCTCTAGTTTCAGTCTGCTTCCATACAGCATGATGTTCATTTAGTAACTGATGGTCCCATTTAGAGTAAAATAGACCATAAAGCAGAGTATGCTTTAGGGCGGGGCTACCTTGTGATTGACAGCTCAATCTCAGTGAGTCCGTCTAGCCAACGCACCAAACTCAGATCAAACTGTCAAACTATGAATCAAGATCCTGTTACTGCATTGCCTATTTGCACTTGGTCTGTACCAGTATATTAGACTGGCTCACCGACAGACCAAGAACCACGGCGCTAGCGTGGCTGAAAACCATAGCCTGGATAAAACCTGTAATAATGTACACCTGTGTACCAGGATTGACTCTGATTTAACAGATTTGTACCATGTGGTGACACACTACAAGCAGGTTTTGACAGTTGTGGTAAACAGATCCAGAAAAGATGGACATGGAGTGGGTTTCGTACAGTTTTCATTGGATGACACTTTCTCAGACCTCCAGGGGGTTTATGGTGTGACACATCTGTTGAAATATTACTGGCATTGATGGATTAAAAGCATTGTTGCCTTGTAACAATGGCTGTTATACCTACACGTTAGTTTGTCACTGATTTCTCTCACGGCATGAAATATAATCTGAGGATAAATCAAGTGGTGGAAGTCATCAGTCTTCTCAATATATATACATTTTATTTCATGTATTGCACCACAGAAAAAAATAACATTATTATTTATTACTTTGTGATTGGTCACATCAAGTTGATGTCATTAAAATCATCAAACAAGACAACTATATGCTTATTTCTTCAGCATTTTCATGCTAAAACAGAAACTTTCCACATACAGTATGTATGAGCCCAGACTCTTGATGTGTTTGTACGTGTGTGTGAAAACCCTTAAAAATGCAAAATATTAAACAAAAGGAATTATAAATGAGTCTACTTGGCACATCAGTTTTTGTTTACAACTAGTTTCTTAAATCCTGTGTGCAGATATTTCTGCTGATTTATACAATTCTGTATGTTTGTGTTTATCTTCACTGGAGAACTCATGATAGCATCATAAATTACTGTAGGCTTGGAAAGGAAACTGAGTTGAACAGATTTAGTTTTTTACTGGTCACTTAGCTACTAAGTAGTTTAGTCAATAGTGTGAGTAACCTGGCTTAATATGCCTTTACACAGCTTTATTATGGAGAATGTTAGAGAGAAGAAGAGAGGTAAGAGGTTGACGAAGGCTACGGGTAGATTTAAAACAGTGGATTCCGACAAATTGATCTGTCTGCTCTGATCCTCTTGAAAAATATGACATTAACTGGATCTATAAGCCGAGAGCTGCCTCAACTAGGACAGTGTTGTGTGAGTCCAGGCCAAAACACAGTGTCTATACAAGCATAAAATTAGAATGGAAGGGGTTTAGGTGTTATATTGGCCATGATTACAAAGCCAGGCTCCGCTTTGTTGCTGCAGCATCTAAGCCTCTTTTAAAGCCAGGAAAAATCCAGAATGGAAATTGCGCTCAATGCATTGGAGAACACATGGCGTGTGGCAACACCTGCACGCATTTACCACAGGCTTCATCAGAAAGAGTTAGAAAAACACAATTTAGAAACTTGGTTTGCAAAAGTTAGAATTATGCAAGAGCCTGGGGGGAGAGGCAGCGACAGTGGAGGGGTCTACAGTAACAGGCTGTAGCGTTGGGAGGGTTGTTTCAGTGATTTGACGTCCCTGGGGTGACAGTGTGCTGACGTTTTCGGTTTATTTTTAACAGTTAGATGATTAAACCAGGAGGCCAGGTTGAAGGTTATGACATTTCGTACCATGGATTGCTAAGCTAGTGTGAGACTGGCCCTGCTTACATTTAAGCCCTTGGGGTTTTCTCGAGGATGAAGTGTTGTGTGCTCTTTTATAAATACTAGTGCAGTGCCCGCTCGAAGGGTGCCTGTTTGAGACGGGCAGACTGTTTGGCCTCCGCTGTTGCTTCATGAGGCTTTCTCAATATGATCGAGCTGCAGAGCCGGAGAGCCCCCTGCGGTTCCAGACCCACCGCTTTAGACGCTCTGCAGGGCGACCGTTCTCAGCTTTCTCGAGAACCGCTCTTTTAAAACTACTCCAGACTCCGACACTGGACTCCACAAATAGCTGGTATATTCGTCCAATCACCCGACTTTAAACCCTGACATTTCAGGTGAAGGTAGGGACACATTTAACACGACTGTTAGGGGACGTTGTGTCAGATAAGTCAGGTTTCTCCAGCCACATCATCAGTGAGTTCACTGGTTATCGACATTATTTAAATATACAAAGAAGGGCCTGTTATAAAGTACTGGCATACAATCACCCCAACTTTTCCACACCCTAAACGGCACAAGTAAAATAAAATAATAATAACACACAAAGGCACAAATAAAGAAATGATAAATACATTTTGAGAATATGATCTAGTTAGCAGGTGATGAATGCTTGTATGCTTGTATATTTACGTTTAAGTGACTATTTCTCTGTCAATCTAACCACCAGTATTGAACAATAAAATCTTGATCACAAGTCTGTCTAATTAAAAATGTTGTGCGTTGTAGGGGTGGAACAGCAAATCGGTCTGGATCAATATACTTATATGAGTGCTCAACAATCAAATATAATATAATCAATTTTTAGAATAAAGGGAAGAAGTAGAAGAAAGGGAACTATATCTGGATTTAATCCTACAACCTTGTGTTCTAAGTTACAATAAAATATCATCATGTATATATGTAGACAAGAAGTATGCCAAACAATGCTGTAACAAGATTAAATAATAACATTTTCCAATCATATTTAAGTAACTGTGTTAATGGGCGTAAGTGATATCGTCTCATATCGATCGCAGGCCTCTGAAGCTAATCCAAACAACTGATATCATATTTGTGATTCATAGAAACTAAACCCATAGAATCAGCTGGTGATTCGGATCAAAGAGGAAATGTAACAGTACTTAAAACTCATGAACATAAGATCTCTTCCTGTGTCTACGTGCATCTTCCATCCTCTGGGCGTCCTTCTCTACACACATTAAAGTACATTATTAATCACTAAAAGTTATTTATCTAACAAACATTTACTGTTTATTTCTTCTCTGTTCTATATATTGTACATTGAAGGATCTGCATCTTTATGTATTATGTACAGTTTGTCAAAGAAAACAAGACATTTATCAACTATTGTCTCACTCTGTGTATATATTATTATATTATATATACTGTCAGTGCTCTGTGTCTTAAAAGTGAGTAACAGAAGCGACAACGTTCGACATACAGGACCAGGCATGGGCACAACAACGTGACTCTGGAGGCTCGTGCAGCAACTTCTCTGCATATATGCAAAAATCTGTAGTTTCTGCATACATACCACATCCTTTCCTATGCTACAGACAGTTTCTGGCTCCAGGATCAGATGTTAACCATTACAAATGTTCTTATCTACTGTCCATTAGCAGCAGACGTAATCAAAGAGAGTAAGAGGGGAGAGAATCTGCCCTCTTAATCTTCACCTCTATCACCGAGCAGGCTGAAGCTGCCCCCTTACATCTACTCCATCCTTCACAGCACTCACAGACTGCTGTTGTCTCTTAGCAACACCTCCAGGCAAATCGATGGGAGGGGGGGGCGACAGAGAGATGAATGAAGAGGGAGGAGGTCGGGTGGGGTGTTGTGGTGGGAGTGAGAGGACAAAGGGGGCGAGGAAGGAAGAAGTGGAGAGAAGAAGGGCAAATAGGTTTCAAGTGTGTGAAGTAAAAAAAAAAGGAAAAGGAGGAGACCAGAGGGAGGGAGGGAGTGTAGGGAGGGAGGAGAGGGGGGAGGAAAGTAGGGAAGGATGCTTAAATGTCAATCTCTAGCCAAATGCAATTTAATGTCATTTGGGGATTAAAATGTCAACCCGATAAAAAGGAGGAGACCACATTGTGAGAGCGTGGGGGCTCAGTTACTGCTTCATACTTTTCACAAAGAGTTTGGTTATAAAATATACAACGTGCACTCAGCCTGGAGCTCTGACTTCAAAGTGGATGTCATCTCACTTTTATTAGAATATACACTATATATACTATTATTATAATCTAAAATATATATATATAATTATATAATAAACTCTATATGATGCTGCCTACAGAGCTCACGTATCTGTGTGTCACCCAACCGACCGGCACATTGTCGGGCAGGTCAACGGCAACAAAGCATCTCGGGGCCGGGTACAGAGAGATGTAAAGAGCCGATGGCCTCCGACACCAGCAGCAGACACTGGAGGAGGAAGAGGAAGAGGAGGAAGAGGAGGTGCAGGATGCCTCTTCATCATTAACCACAACAGCAGCACTCTTTTAAAACCGAGCTTTGCATCCACTGAAAAACATTCGCTGCATACATTCACGATGCTTTTGGAGGCTCACCTCGCTGTGCCGGCGGTGTCTGCTGGGTGAAGCAACCCCACAATCAGCGTTGCTTCCTCAGCCTCGCTCGCTGCTCATCTCTGGTTCTCCTCGCTCGTGGTTAGGGTCTTTTTGGGGTTTTTTCTTTTTGCAACGTGAATTTAAAAGGATGAAGAACAAGAGAGAGAGAGAGAGAGAGAAAAGAAGAAGACGTTAGCTGTGCATAAAACGACTGGTGGCACCAGATGATGAAGAGGCTAAATAGAAGGAGAAAAAAAAAAAGAACCCTGCTAACCCGCTCGCTGAGTGAGAGTGAGTGATGAGGAGGCGTCCAATAATACAGGAGGAGGAGGAAGAGGAGGAGGAGGAGGACCGTGGACTGTGCCCTCCAGGACGGCCCTCGGCGAGCACAGGCAGGAGGAGCAGGAGGCGGCGTCGGTTGGTGTCTTCCTGGGAGGGAGGGAAGGTCCTCGTAGACCCCGGCGGCCACCGCTGTCCTGCTCCGTCTACAACTTCCTGTCTCACCCTTTCACAATTAAACATTCGGTGTGGGGTTTAAAACCGTTATTAATAATAATAATAATAATAAAAATATATAAATTATTGAATTTTTTTATGATTTCTATTTCATACATTTTGCCTGTATAAACCAATACAGAAGTTATCTAACACGCAGATCATGTAGACAATCAATACAGACAAAAGAAATAAACGCATTTTATTTTATTTTATTTATCTTCAATACAATGTCCTACTCATCCTGGTGTGTTGCAGGACATCAAGTCATGACTAGACTTACATATTTAAGTATATTACAAGAAGGCTATACAAACATTATCTAAATATATATATATATAGATAATGTGTATATATATATAGTACATTTCTGAAGTGTAATCAAAAGTCCAGTCCATTTGGTCAAATAATTATGAGCCCCGTTTCTCATTATTTCGATTTTTGAATGTAAAATGTAATTTATTTTTTTTACTATAGATGAATAATCTCCCTGAACAAAATCTGCCTCCCCACCAGAATCCTGGACTTGATCTAAAGTTCTACAGTCACCTAATATATACAATTTGAATACATTTATGGCTAATAAGTTTGAACTAAAGGGCATTCCCAAAGCATTTACATACATGTTCCTTCAGGTCCTTTACATTTCCAACAATCAGTCTTACATCTGAGCTTATAAGTCTTAACATTTTAAATGGGGTTCAATAGAAAAACTATTTAGTATCCTAAAGGGAATCAATCTAGGCTAATCTGTTTGCCTATATTGTCATAAATAATATAAATGTTTAACAAAATGATGAGGAAAGGGGATACAATTCTAAAATAACACAGTAATTAGAGAGATAGAGTGGGGAACTATATGTATTTAATAAATATATTTCATTGTCTTTACCGCTTTACTTTGAAAGAAAGCTCACAGGTAGCCTCCTAATCAGGTGAACTCCTTCAGCTTTACTGTAACAGTGGAGTGAATTCCCCACAGAAGATACTCAGAACAGCAAAAACACTACAGTAACAGAGTTCTCGGGGGTTTATCTTTGTATTTTAAGCCCACGATGAATGCTGAAAACAGTCTGAAAATATTTGAATATTCTCTCTGCATTCCTGATGCACTTTTCTCCAAATGTCACACTGAAAGGAAATCCCATAATAACCAGAGAATTAGAGTGAGAAAGAAGTTCTTCATGTGGCACACATGGTCTACTATTTCCCTGTAATTGAATCCTAAATAACTGTTAACTGCTGGCACAAGAATGAGCTCCTAAATAAAAGACTTTTGTCTATAAAACCTCACGAGTCAGCTCAACACGGCGCCGCTGCAGAGGTGATTCTTCAGCGGGATGTTTTAAAATGTGCCAGAGACACTATCGCTCACCAGGGTTGCTAAAAACAATCCTGCTCAGTTTTCATTTCCTGGTTCACTCAGCACATTAAATGGACCATAGAGCCGAGGATCCATCAGGGCTGATATTAAGTACTGTCAGAGAAGATGAGTAGTCTCCTCTCAGAGTGCACTGGATCAAAAGAAAGGCACGGCAATAAAGAAAGTCAAAGAAGTGTTTCCATACACCTGAATACTGTAATGGTTAGTGTATGTGTGTGTGTGTGTGTGTGTGTGTGTGTGTGTGGATGACTACCTCACAACGCAGGAACACCCAATGATCCAGAGAGAAGAAACACTTCTGCTCTGATGTAAATCACACCACCTGACTACTGACTCGGTGCAGTTTAGCTCCTGAGGTTAGTCATTCCAACTGCAATGCAAGGATTCATTAAACACTCGATTTTTACCTTAAATTTCATCATCAAATTAAAAATCTGATCACATTTATTGACAGAATTTTACATGAATTAGTCTTTTTATGTGTGTTAATTGCATACGTTTGTATAGATCAGGGCTGGGCACCAGATTGTTTAGCAAAAAAATACATAAATTAATGAATCTCTCTGTAAATATGTATCTTATTATTAATTATTTGTCATTATCTGAGTGACACTGTCGATTAAGGGAACCTGGGATCTTGGTACCATTTTTAATCTTAACAATAAAATATGATAGATGTTTGCTTTTGGCTCCTGGTTCATTATAAAGTTTCATCATAAATATTTTAGGCACCTCTTTTATAGCTGGAGCAACTGCTGTTCAATGTGATATCACATTAGTGATTAGAGGTTGGAAGGGCTAACTACACTGCCAATGGATGAAGTGTAAACAATAAAAGTATAGTCAATAAACAGTATTGTAACATTATAGTAAGAAAAATCACTTAAACACACACTTTAAAACCAGATGTTAATTTTGTTTTGTAAACACTGTTTATTAGTTTTTCTTTTATCAGTGCAAATAATAAGGACAAGAACTTTGTCTCCAACACCCACCCCCAACCACACTTTCCCAAATGCTTCCCACTGGCTCCAAAAACAGGACAGAAAACTGACAATAATGTAACCAAAATAATAATAACAGTACCAAAATAAATATACGTACAGATACAAGTTAAAAAAAAAGCAAAAAAAAAACCCCCCAAAAACTCCACATAAGTGAATTTACCTCAAAACATTGTTTTGTCAACCAATTACATAAAAATCTTTAAGTAGCACAAACAGGTTAAAAAATATTCTCAATTAAACCACTTTTACTAGTTCAACTTTTTTTGACTTACAAAATATAAGTGTATGTATGAATGTAAACCAATTTAAACTATTTTATTTATTTATTATTATTATTATTATTATTATATACTGTTATTATTAACAATAACACTACCATCATGTCATCAGTATATTACCACCATCTTACCAGCAACTCTTTGCACCATACCTATTGATCTTTTTTTTTTAGTTGTATCTTTTCTAAGTATTTTATTCTACTGTTGTATTTTATTCTATTGTTGTATTTTATTTTATTCTATTGTTGTATTTTATTTTATTGTTGTATTTTATTTTATTGTTGTATTTTATTCTATTGTTGTATTTTATTTTATTGTTGTATTTTATTCTTATTGTTGTATTTTATTCTATTGTTGTATTTTATTTTATTGTTGTATTTTATTTTATTCTTGTTATTTATTGTTGTATTTTATTTTATTGTTGTATTTTATTTTATTGTTGTATTTTATTCTATTGTTGTATTTTATTTTATTGTTGTATTTTATTCCATTGTTGTATTTTATTCTATCGTTGTATTTTATTCATTTATTCTATTGTTGTATTTTATTCTATTTTATTCCATTGTTGTATTTTATTTGTTTTTTTTATTGTTGTATTTTATCCTATTGTTGTATTTTATTTTATTGTTGTATTTTATCCTATTGTTGTATTTTATTCTATTGTTGTATTTTATTCTATTGTTGTATTTTATTTTATTGTTGTATTTTATTCTATTGTTGTATTTTATTCTATTGTTGTATTTTATTCATTATTGTTGTATTTTCATTGTTGTATTTTTATTTTATTGTTGTATTTTATTTTATTGTTGTATTTTATTCTATTGTTGTATTTTATTTTATTGTTGTATTTTATTCTATTGTTGTATTTTATTTTATTGTTGTATTTTATTCTATTGTTGTATTTTATTCTATTGTTGTATTTTATTTTATTGTTGTATTTTATTCTATTGTTGTATTTTATTTTATTGTTGTATTTTATTCTATTGTTGTATTTTAATTTATTGTTGTATTTTATTCTATTGTTGTATTGTATTTTATTGTTGTATTTTATTCCATTGTTGTATTTTATTTTATTTTATTGTTGTATTTTATTTTATTGTTGTATTTTATTTTATTGTTGTATTTTATTTTATTCTATTGTTGTATTTTATTTTATTGTTGTATTTTATTCTATTGTTGTATTTTATTTTATTGTTGTATTTTATTCTATTGTTGTATTTTATTTTATTGTTGTATTTTATTCTATTGTTGTATTTTATTTTATTGTTGTATTTTATTCTATTGTTGTATTTTATTTTTTAGTTGTTGTATTTTATTTTATTCTATTGTTGTATTTTATTCTATTGTTGTATTTTATTCTATTGTTGTGTTTTATTTAATTGTTGTATTTTATTTTATTGTTGTATTTTATTTTATTGTTGTATTTTATTTTATTGTTGTATTTTATTCTATTGTTGTATTTTATTTTATTGTTGTATTTTATTTTATTGTTGTATTTTATTCCATTGTTGTATTTTATTCCATTGTTGTATTTTATTTTATTGTTGTATTTTATTTTATTGTTGTATTTTATTCCATTGTTGTATTTTATTCCATTGTTGTATTTTATTCTATTGTTGTATTTTATTTTATTGTTGTATTTTATTCTATTGTTGTATTTTATTTTATTGTTGTATTTTATTCTATTGTTGTATTTTATTTTTTTGTTGTATTTTATTTTATTGTTGTATTTTATTTTATTGTTGTATTTTATTCTATTGTTGTATTTTATTTTATTGTTGTATTTTATTTTATTGTATTTTATTTTATTGTTGTATTTTATTCCATTGTTGTATTTTATTCTATTGTTGTATTTTATTTTATTGTTGTATTTTATTCCATTGTTGTATTTTATTCTATTGTTGTATTTTATTTTATTGTTGTATTTTATTTTATTGTATTTTAATGTACCTGGCTGCTATGACGACCCAGTTTCCCTCCGGAGATTACATAATAAAGTCTATTTATCTATTTATCTATTGATTGATTGATTTTATTTAATTAACCCTCCAGCGGTTGGTCTCGAGGTCTTCTGTCGACATCTGCCGGAGAGCCGCGCGCATGTCTCGGTATTTCTGTCAGGCACTCGCGTGGGCCACCTAAGATGACGGCGTTGTTCCCCCCGACGAAGGACCCACAAACGGCGGCTACATCGTCGGTTTCCCCCGGGGCGTCGCACAGAAACCCGTCTGCGTAAATGAAACGTTATCCGTCTGAAATCTAAATCATCTCCACAAACAAACCGGTAAATATTTCTCTCTATTAATCTCCAGCTCGTCCGCCATCAGATGGACATTGTATGCGCGGGAAAGACGCGCGAACTCGAGTGAAAGAGCCGGAAAATGGAAGCTAGCGACAGAAAGCGGCTCCTTCAATGAATGAGAGGTTTAATAAACGGTCTTTAACCGAGCAAGGGTCGATAACGTGTGTGTGTGTTTAAGCATTTAACCCGTTACTAACTCTTCACGGCTTCACTGTGAGGAGTTTATACGTGTTTCTTTCCTCTTTCAGGTGTTTTGATTATTAGCACAATGCTAACGTTTCTTCCTCGACCGCTCAGTTTGAAAATCCCACATCGGACAAACATCTTCTCTTTTATTCATCTCCCCGGTGTGTTTTCTCCACAGGTTCGAGAGCCGGGCTAAGTGCTCTGTTCAGCAGCCCCTGATCAAAGCCTTGTGGTGTGTGTGTGTGGGGGGGGAGGAGAGGGGAAGCCATGTTTCTGTACAACATCACCCTGCAGCGTGCCACGGGCATCACTCATGCCATCCATGGAAACTTCTCAGGTGAGTTCTATCAATACCAACAAGTCCTTAACCTTTTCTGTGTGTGTGTGTGTGTGTGTGTGTGTGTGTGTGTGTGTGTGTTTTTGGCGGGGTTTACTTGGGGCATAGATCAGTAAATAGAAATGATTTCTGATAGTGTTATATTGTCTTGGTCAGACTTCTGGCCTTTATTCCAAGTAGGGTTGCACGGTGTTTATCGAGCAGCGGTTGGGAAGTTTTTATATTTATATGACTTGTTGGGATAATTAAACTACAGCCGGGAAATTATTTGAATTCTTGTGCAAAACAATCGGTAGCCTTTTTATGTTCTGTGTTCATCTAAAGAGTCGAAAAAACTGTTTGTTTTTGTTGTTTTAACAGTAGAAAAGTTGGTTAAGTGTGAGAGCTATGCAGTATTTAATCATCTGTGTTTGCTCAGTATGTGTTGGCCTTATTCACCATCAACTACAGGTTGTGAACTTCTTTTTAAAATACAAAAACATGTTGTGCGTCCCTTTTTATTCTAAGTGCAAGGTTTTGTGTTTGTGCGTTGGGTTAATGTAACAGATGCATAGATTCAACCAACCCCGGTGAATTCTGCAGTCTGTAGTTTTCACCTGGAGTTTTCTGCAGATTTGAGTAATCGGTGTAGTTTCCTACAAGTTTAATCAATCGTGGCAATCCCCGGTGCAAATCGTTGAGCCGTATGTCACCAAACTACCAGCGATATCCCACTGGAGCAAGTTGCCTTCACTTAAAAAACAAAACATGACTTTTTTTTTGCAATTTTCACGTTTTTATGCAATTTAATTACAAAAAAAAGAAGCCTGAAAACAATAAAAAAAAAAAAAAAGGGCAATAATCCCCCAAAAAAGCCAGAAAGATCCTGGACAGACTGTAAGTGGTTATGAGTTTTCATTATGTTCAATGGAGAGAATGCAGCAACTCTGAATGTAATACCAAAACAAACATACAGTATTGTTTTGTTGTGGTTTTAAAATGATTACATGCTGCAAATGTCACTTAAACTCAAATATTTCTTGCCATAATTAAAGTTTTATTTATAAAACATCTTTTTATCGTCAAATAAATTATATGTAAAATACTATCAAAAGGAAAAAAGCTGATTTTGGTGAGAAATCATGTTAAATGTGAGGATTTTAAGTTCATAGCTGACACGTGACACAAGCTGAATGTTGAAAAAGAGATGTTTGTCTCTCTGTAGGAACCAAGATGCAGGAGATTGTCGTTTCCAGGGGAAAGATCTTGGAAATATTGCGGCCAGATGCCAACACAGGAAAGGTGCACACTCTGCTCACGGTGGAGGTGTTTGGCATCGTTCGGTCCCTGATGGCCTTCAGACTCACAGGAGGAACCAAAGGTACAAAGCAAAGCGAGCATGCACGTCCTTCGCCTTTAGTTTAGCTGATTGATTGTCATGATATGGATTTATGTGTGTGCAAAGTCTGGTTTCACATTCCTCTAGTGAAAGTTTCCATCTTCCCTGAGATCTAATTTTGGGACAAACATGTTTAATCGCAATTTTACACCCTGACAAAAATGATTTATGAATTGTAACAAGAAAAGCATTATTCCCTCCCTCCCTGTACAGGGTTGCCATGGGGCTAGAAAGACCTTGAAAGTGCTCTGATTTACTGAGCAATAAAGAGGTCCTTAAATTGTTTTTTTTATCAAAATAACAATTTGCTTATACTCAAAACCAAACATTTCCTATTATGTAACAAGTAAACCTACCGATTCCTTGAAGAAATAGCTGATAATGGTCAAAAATCTTGTTTTTCAGCATGTGTCACAACATTATTTTGCCAAAATCTTCTGACCATTACCAGAAATGCTGTCATTGATCACAATAAAGCAAGTAAAGTTTCATCCTGATGGATTAAAAGGATTTATTTTTTTTACACCTATTACTGGGTGGTGCCTGGCCTTATATTTCTACTGCCAATTAAATAAGGTAAACCATTTAAGTCTTGGTATATACTGGGTTAGACTGGCATATGTGAACAATTCATTTTGAAATAATTTGTCCTTGAAAACTACCTTCGTATTTACAGGTGTTGTTGTGTGTTTGCAGACTACATTGTTGTTGGAAGTGACAGTGGTCGTATTGTCATCCTGGAATATCATCCATCCAAGAACATGTTCGAGAAGATCCACCAGGAAACCTTTGGAAAGAGCGGCTGCCGGCGTATCGTCCCCGGACAGTTCCTGGCCGTCGACCCAAAAGGCAGAGCTGTTATGATAGGTACGGAGTCATGTCAGAGAGCTGAAATGTTCAAATGGATGACGTTAGTGAACCTCCAGAAGTAAAAGTAAACTGTTTGACTAAGTAGTTCCTCGGAATAATGGCTCAATTGTCAAAATCAACGCATTACTGATACATTATGTATACCTATGCTAATTTGATTATGATTGTCTTAAAGGACAGCCACGTATGTTAAAACTAAATTACTTCCATTCTTCCTCTGTCCAGGAGCGATAGAGAAACAGAAGCTGGTTTACATCCTGAACAGAGACGCAGCTGCTAGACTGACCATCTCCTCTCCACTGGAAGCACACAAAGCAAACACGCTCGTCTACCACGTAGTAGGAGTCGATGTCGGCTTTGAAAATCCCATGTTTGCCTGCCTGGAAATGGATTACGAGGTAAGGTCACGAAGAATGTACGGTTGTTGCCTCTAAGACACCAGGCTTGTGTTGTAGATGTGATGAGTTTGTCATGTCTCTTCTCTGACATAAAACTGGAGAAAGATTCAACGTCTCTGATCTCAGCACACGAGTTTAATCAAGTACCAGTATGGTTGAATATCCTGACACCATGAGCATATTCAGGGCAGCAGAGAGTGTTGACACTTTTAAAAGCAAACTCAACACTTACCTTTTTAGTCTTTTAACTGATTTTTATTTACTTATTTGTCTATTTAGGTTTTTATTATTATTAATCTATTTCTGTTAATCACTTCTTTCCCTTTTTCTTTTTATTACTCAGTTCAATTTGTGTATTTATTCTTACATCTTAACCTGTTTTATTACTTTGTTTATGTATTTGTACATCTGACTCAGTTTTGTGTGATTTATCCTTTTCTTACTCTTAGTTTTCATCTTTTTCTAATTCTGCCTCCAGTATTTCTTCACTGCAACTGGATGAGATTCTTCAGTTTGTTTTAATTCAGTGTTTTATTGTTCACCTAAACACTTTATGTGTGTGTCTGTCCTGTAAAAACTAAAGTCTTATTGATTGATAGGCTATATTTTACCCATACGTTATTGTTTGGTGTCTCAGGCTGTACTGTGCTTAACATGGGACCGGTATCTGATCCCGTATGTTGACATTTGCTCTTTTCAGGAAGCTGACAATGACCCGACAGGAGAAGCTGCCGCCAACACGCAACAGACGCTCACCTTTTACGAGCTGGACCTCGGCTTGAATCACGTGGTCCGCAAGTACAGCGAGGCTTTGGAAGAGCACGGAAATTTCCTCATCACTGGTAAGCATTTGGACATGCAGGGTTGCACACACCAAGGAAATAATAGTTGGTAACGGTTGGAGACTGTAAGGTGGAAAGGAAATTCATCCAGAAATATCTATAGAATATGCACCATTAGAGGATTTGTTTTCAGAAGATCCTGTAGACGGGCACGGTTGTCAGATTGGCTTGTAAGATTACAAAGGATTCATCATCAAAGTGTTGTAGATGTGATGAGTTTTCATGTCTCTTCTCTGACATAAAACTGGAGAAAGATTTAACGTCTCTGATCTCAGCACGAGTTCACCAACACAACAACACAGATTGAAGAGCAGGTTAAAGTAGTAAAGGGAAATGAATGGAGGGCCCATCCTGCTGGTGGATTCCAGCTGTTTTTCACTGCAACCATCATCATTTGAAAAAGAAAGGTGTCTCACTAAATGCTTCTCTCTGTCTAGTCCCTGGTGGTTCAGATGGGCCCAGTGGAGTTCTGATCTGCTCTGAAAACTACATCACATACAAGAACTTTGGAGACCAGCCTGACATTCGCTGCCCTATCCCGCGACGCAGGGTGAGTCCAAAATACAAAATGAAAAATGAAGCTCTATGCTTCCACACAGTCAACTGTACCACACGCTTCCTGTGCTGCTTTCTGGGTGTGTTCTGTAGTCTTTCTAACAATCACCAGCGCTGGTTTGGTTCAAATAAACCCTTCATTCACTGATGTACATGAGGAAAAACAGCTGGTTCAGTCGCTCTACTTAGTTGTACATGCATAAACATGTTTTTCCTTCCTTCCTCTCCTCACCCACTCCCCTTCTTCTTTGTATGTCTGTGTCAAGTCATTTTTTTTGTCTCTGTATGCACATTTATTTTTATTCTGCTCCCTTTTTATTCATCCGTCCCATCCTACAGAATGACCTGGATGACCCAGAGCGCGGCATGATATTTGTCTGCTCAGCCACCCACAAGACCAAGTCCATGTTCTTCTTCCTGGCCCAGACTGAGCAGGGAGACATCTTCAAGGTTACCCTGGAGACAGATGAAGAAATGGTGAGCAAAGTTGAAGGAGGGCTAAAATGAATTCTACAGTGAAATGAATGGTACAGCCAAAGTAATGTTAACTAGGCGCTGCATGCTTGGGATACTGCCCTCCTCTAATTTGAAACTGACTGACTCACATGCATGCAGCGAAGGAAAGGCACTGACACGCACACTGCTGGTTGAAACGTGATGAGTTTGTTCATGTCTCTTCTCTGAATAAAAGCTGAAGAGTCTGTAGATCATTCTGATTTCAACACAAACGCACACAAGTTTTCATCACTGGCTGTTTATGAACAGTCAGTTTGGTATTTCTGGTTCTGTATCTGTTACCAATTGTTAACAAATGGTACAAAGCTCACCAGTGAGCATGGGTGCCAGACCTCCGGCTATAGACGGATTTCTGTCAAGTGTTTTTAGTCAGTTTAGTTTTCAACATTATTTGCTTCAATATGTCTATAAGTTGTCATTGGTTAACTTTCTGTGAATTGATCGATCAGCACAGAAATGTATCTTTTAAAAAGTGTTCTATGTCGTTTCTCAGGTCACAGAAATCAGGCTGAAATACTTTGACACGATCCCGGTGGCGACAGCTATGTGTGTCCTGAAGACTGGCTTCTTGTTTGTGTCTTCAGAGTTTGGAAACCAGTAAGTCATTTGTTTTTTATTACCTTTGACAGAACACCACTTACAACCTTTTTGTGCTTTTGCTGTCTGGGCTTGAAAATCTTCGGATTGGTGTAAAAATATCCTCAAAGCTCAGCTTAGGGCCAATCTATATATATAGATATATTTTCTCTGAAACCTCTTACGCTCATGTTGTTCTGTCTTTTGTTTCCTTTACGTGTGGTTGCACACACCAGGGAAACAATAGTTGGTAATGGTTGACTGTAAAAAGTGGAAATAAAATTTAGCCAGAAATATCTCTAGAATGTATTTTGGCTTTTTCTCCTTTGGGAGGGGGCTGTGGGTGTGGGAGTTGCTAGGCCTGGGAAAGCTGTTGTCTATATTTGTGTGAGTGTATCTGTGTTTTTTGAATTATATTTGTGTTAAGGCCCCCCTTGAAGACGAGATGCTTCATCTCAAGGGGTTTATCCTTTCAAATGCCTGTGAATAGAATATGTAACGTTTGAGGATTTGCATTCAGAAGAACCTGTAGATGGGCACGTTTGTTAGATTACAAAGGATTCATCATCAAAGTGTTGTAGATGTGATGAGTTTGTCATGTCTCTTCTCTGACTAACACTGGAGAAAGATTTAACGTCTCTGATCTCAGCACGAGTTCAACAGCACAACAACACACATTGAAGAGCAGGATAAAGGGAAATGAATGGAGGGCCCATCCTGTTCGTGGATTCTAGCTGTTTTCACTGCAACCATCACACCAAATGCTCAAAGCTCAACTCGGGCCAGGATTCTTGTCTATATGTCATTTGCTTTATTTTTCTCTGAAACCTCTTTTGTCTCATGTTTGGTCTTTTGTTTCCTTTAGTTACCTTTACCAGATTGCCCACTTGGGTGACGACGATGAGGAGCCGGAGTTCTCCTCTGCAATGCCGCTGGAAGAGGGAGACACCTTCTTCTTCCAGCCCCGCCCCCTCAAGAACCTCGTTCTGGTGGACGAACAGGAGAACTTATCGCCCATCATGTCCTGTCAGGTGTGTGTGTGTGTGTGTGTGTGTGTGTGTGTGTGTTTGCGTGGCCATAAAACTGGGCCTCCCTAATACCTGCAATCTTTACTGCTGTAATAGCAAGTCTTTGAACATTTCTTTGCTTGCTTCTGTTCCAGATTTCTGATTTGGCCAATGAAGATACGCCACAGCTGTACGTGGCCTGTGGACGAGGACCCCGGTCTACTCTGAGGGTCCTTAGACACGGACTGGAGGTACACAGACACACACACACACACACACAGACACAGCAACATCATATGCATGCAGCGAAGGAAAGACACTGACACGCTGGTTGAAACGTGATGAGTTTGTTCATGTCTCTTTTCTGAATAAAAGCTGAAGAGTCTGTAGATAATTCTGATTTCAACACAAACGCACAAAAGTTTTCATCACATTGCTGCTTATGAACAGTCAGTTTGGTATTTCTGTTTCTGTATCTGTTACCAATTGTTAACAAATGGTACAAAGCCCACCAGTGAGCATGGGTGCCAGACCTCCGGCTATAGACGGATTTCTGTCAAGTGTTTTTAGTCAGTTTAGTTTTCAGCTAATGTAAAAAATATTGTACATTATTTGCTTCAAATTAAAATATGTCATGTTAGATTATGATTTTGGCTTATAGTCATATTTGTTCGTGCAAATTTACAACCATATGCTCAAGGACCTCCAAACAACAATTTTATTGACTTCTCTGTTTTAAACCGGCTGCTGACTCCTCACTTCTCCTAACCAGCCAGTAGGGGCCGCAAGTAATCAACAACTGCTAGGCTTTAAAACAAGCCTTACCTAGTGTGTTGCAGGCCACATTATGGCCTTGTTTGTGGCTCAAAAACTGCCATGCGTAGAAAAGTTTAGTCTCTTCTTGAACTGGCACATCCGCAGATGGATTCCACACCCGATATGTTATGATCCACTAAAGTTAAGCACTGCACGAATAAATCCCACTGCCATCTTGACTGCAGGAGCCAGAGCAAAAGTTTCCTCATTGGCTTATATAGTTATAATATGTTAAATTTTGCTTATAATGTTCTAAATAAATAATGTTTAGATTCATAGGTTTGGACTAATCATCCAGTTAATTGTTAGGCAAACCCAGAACACTGGTTTAAAATACTGTTACACTATTCTTTGCATCCTAAAAGAAAACCCAGAGTATAATCTGTATGTGTAATCCATTGTTGTTTGCTTGAGGCAGACTTCAGAACATCCTGGGATCAAGCCCTTTACATCATCATGATTAAAATACAGGATAGTTGATAAAACATTAAATCCTCCTTCCCTATCCGTCTCCATCAGGTATCAGAGATGGCTGTGTCTGAGCTGCCCGGTAACCCCAACGCCGTGTGGACAGTACGCAGACATGTGGAAGGTAACAAGTTTCCTGTTTCAGACCCCTGTTTTCCTTTCCTCCCAACCTCTCATAAACCAAATGTACAGTGTCAGTTTACAGCCAGTTGAAGACAACGATTGACAGTTCACCTGGAGGCTGACTGAATTTCACAGTTAAGATTTTAAGTGCTGTGTCTAGAAACCTTTCAACAGCATCGTAAAACATTTATAAATTAGATTTGGTTTTGTATCTATTAGGGATGCACCAACTGTGAAATTCTGGGCACATAATAATATTTCAAATAACAATTTGGCTTCTTCTCATCGTGTCTGTGGCTGATGAACTGGATGTAAGCGTAATACAGTGTAATATACCCTCACATGGCTGACATTTTCTTTCACTTTAATTTGAAAACAAACCACAGCTCTCTTAACACGTGCCAGCTGCTGATTTATTCTCTGAATCAGCAACTGGGTATGCTAGCTACTGTTGTCTCACTACAAATAACCATCAACCAGGTGACACAACAGATAAACACTGCCCACTGACATCGGCCATCTTATTTGTCCATCGGCCAATAGCAGTCAATAATGCAAACATTGGCCAGTACCAGTTTATTGACCCTTATATTTACATTTGGAATACAGATAGTGTGTTTATGTCTGCATTTTCTCTTCAGTTTAAAATTATTTTGTGCAACAGTGTATTTCCTAGAAGTCGAATGGTTACCACAGCTGACAGATCAGTCTTTAGATGTGAGTGTCAGGGACAGGTGAGGGAAAAAACTGTTTCAGGATGACGTTCATGACTTTGGCAGTGTGTCTCTTTGTGAGTCCTTTTATTTTTGTTTAAATGTGATAATTGGCTAAAGTAATGCCAAATGCTGTATATTAATCTATATCAGTCTGTCTGGTTTTATTCTGAAAGTTTGTGTTGCCAAAGCAGAGGTTGTCTTGTTTCAGTTTCACATCATTTTAGTAATAAGTTGAAGATGTTTAAAGGTGTTTTGAAGAAATTAACCTGTCTGTTTGCCTGCTTTTTACCTTCTGGATCGTGTCAAGTGAATTGGGCCCGCATGTTGTTTGTGTTACTGGGAGACTTTACTCTGTAATCTCACAAGTTTACAACAAATTGAGTCGTATCAACTGTGAAATGACTGAGTGGCAAGCCCAGCCGATTCCCCTGGAGGAAACCGGAAACATTCTCATTATTTTCTCTGTCTTGCAATTTGATACACACACACACACACACTTCTACACACTTCCACACACTTCCACACACTTCCAAGTGAAAGAACTGTGTGTGTTGTTGGAGCTTTTGACTTGTGGGATTTTATGTGGCTTTGACTGCAAAGGCAGAACCCCAACCCTGACCTACAGAATATCTTAATTTATTTATTAGATGAGAGAGAAACACGCGCAGGGTCATGGTCAGCATGTGAAGGAGGCTTGTTGTTAATGATGGAGGAACTTATGTGGTACTTGGATCATAATGCAGTGAACACACCTGCTGTGTGTGTTTTTAACTGCAAGTCATCAAAGCAGTTGCTTATAAAAGGCACCGTAGTTTTGGCGTTAAATAATCTTTCACTTGCCCCGGGCAGGCGTTAATGTCGAGCCCTGCCGTCTGTTTGCAGGAAACACATTACTGCTGTTTGCCTAGAACGTCGCCCTGTCGTGTTGCTGTTCCTTTCGTCCTTGCAGTCTCTATCTCTGCTCACCCAGATCATTAATTCAGCATGTTTAGCCTCAGCACAACTCCCATCAGCATTGTTTTCCTAATGTTCGTCTCGATTCCTTTTTTCCCCCTATTAGATGAGTTTGATGCCTACATCATTGTATCTTTCGTGAACGCCACTCTGGTTCTGTCCATCGGGGAGACTGTAGAGGAAGTGACAGATTCTGGATTTCTGGGAACAACTCCTACTCTCTCCTGCTCACTGCTCGGTGAAGACGCCCTGGTGCAGGTGGGTCTTCTTTCATACCTGTGATGGTACTGGACTGCTACCTCCAAAACTGTATGAAGTGTTACAGTTTCATACTTGCCTGGCCAAAGTATCTTAAAGACAGTTTTATGTGTTTGAGAAGGATGCTCCTTACCTTGCTGTGTCTATTAACTAAAGTATGCAGGATATTATGTTGGAATAAGAAAACATTAAATCCAAGGTAATATCAATTATTGAACCAACCTACTTACTTTCTTTCCGTTTTATTTCGTCCTTCCCCTCCCTGCCTCTCCATACAGGTGTACCCAGATGGTATCCGCCACATCCGAGCGGACAAGCGTGTGAATGAGTGGAAGACTCCCGGCAAAAAAACCATTGTCCGCTGCGCTGTGAACCAGCGTCAGGTTGTCATCGCTCTCACCGGAGGGGAGCTGGTCTACTTTGAGATGGACCCGGTAAGAAAGAAGATGTTTTCTACTTATTCAAATGAAATATTTCCACAGGAAATCTGTCTATTCTTGACTAAAATCGGAGATCAGAGTTACGGTGTTACTGATGTTTCGTGTTCCGAATTTCATATCTTATCACACTTTGATATAACACTCATATTTAACAAATGACAGCTGGATTTCTATACGATGTTAGGGTAATGTCTGAAACTCAACTGTTGGTAGAATAAGCTGTGTAGTGTGACACTTCAAAGCAGGTCTACCAGACGCAAAGTGGAACCGAAAAATCCTCTTTTTCATTTCTGTTCCTGTATCGGTTAAGAGCTGATCACACTGAAACAACCCATTATTAATGATCAAAATTACTTTTGGTGTTGTGGTTGATAACCGTTAATTGTACGTGCAACAAATACTTATTCTCTCTACCTCTTGTGTTAATAGGGTAATAAGTTTCTTTAAAATAAAATGAATAATTTTCGATTTGAACTGTTATTTAAGCTCCGCCAAGTTCACAGCTGTGTTGAGAACAGCCAGCAAGGCCACAAAGTGTGTCTCATAACTGATGATCACCATTGAAGACAAAAACTAGATCAATCTCAGGTACCATAATAAACACAGGAAAGGGCTGGGATGACTGAAAGTCTGTGCTGTAACACTGTTTGTCCCTTTGTCTCCTTTCTCTTCCTCTCTCCAGTCCGGCCAGCTGAATGAGTACACAGAGCGGAAGGAGATGTCTGCAGATGTGGTTTGCATGAGCCTGGCTAACGTTCCACCCGGTGAGCAACGCTCGCGATTCCTCGCCGTGGGACTGGTTGACAACACTGTACGAATCATCTCCCTGGACCCTTCGGTATGAACACAAACAAGAGTGTGTCAATGAGACTGCACAGAAAGCAACACCTAGCACACTGACACATTAAAAATAAGTATTCTGCGTCTGCCTTGTCAGCAGAGTAAAGTACTGTTGTGCTTGTACTACTGTCTCAGTCTACTTAGTCTTGCTACAGACAGAACATCTTTGGGGTCAAGCATTTAGATCTGTAGGGTTCTCTCAGTGTACATGAGAATATGGTGACACTTGACTCTTCTAACATATCACTTTTTTTCCACATCTGTAGATGTAGATTAGTGCCTATGTCTGTTGTTTGCACCACTGGACTCAAATGTGCATTCATCTTTTGTAATGAGGGTTTATGCACTGCAACCACTACTAAAACATCCCTCAGCATTTTATACATGACAAAGAACATGATTGGATGTTAATTGCTTAATTGTAGCATGCATGTTATGTTTCTCCAGTCATTTATTGAGGTTTTTCCTATAGTTTGTCATAGTCTGTAGGTAAGCAGTAAATTGCTTTTATCCCACATCCAGCTGTTATAACACCACCATCTGGTTTGAAGCCACATTTGCTTGTTGTACTAATGAGTTTAAATGGTTGATATGAATCCCCTCCAGCCAAAACATATTTGTCTGGCTTCTTCTCAGGTCAGTAACAAGTAATATGTCCATCTTTATTAAAATAATTTATTAAAAACAGTTACACACTGCCTGAGGGGAAAGCTTGGTGCAACGTAACATTTGAAAAGAATGATGTATTTGTCCCTTAAGTGTAATATTACAGAATAACATATTCTTCAGATTTAATGATAATTTTTTTAAACAAGCCAGATCTAATGTGATATGACAGGAGAAACAAAGTTCCTGTATAGGTATCAAATTGTTTTTGACAGAAGTCCTGGGGCCAGAAAAAGCTATATGCCCATTAATCATGCTGGTGAGGGCGAGAAATGCTGAAATATTTACGAGGATCTTGAGGGATTAATTATTATTTCTTTGTGTGTTTCGAGAAAGTGATGTCAGCCAAACTGACATAAGTTGATAAGTTATGACTTGTGAGGTGTTAAGTGGTAAATGGAAGTTCCTGTATATACCACTTTATACTACACCAGGTCAGGTGAATGTTATGCTGGAGCTTTTGGCGACAACCAATAATCAGTGAATGTGAATCAGAGTTTATTAACCAAAGTAATAAAAAGGTCTATGTCTATACACTAAATGTTTCAAAAGAAGAGGTTTTATTTAAACATTTGTGCATTTTAAAATGGTCCTAACCCTCTGAATCTTTGTTGTGTTCAGGACTGCCTACAGCCGTTGAGTATGCAGGCCCTTCCAGCGCAGCCTGAGAGTCTGTGTATTGTCGAGATGGGAGGGATCGAGAAACAGGATGAGCTTGGAGAGAAGGGAACCATCGGCTTCCTCTACCTCAACATTGGGCTTCAGGTATTCTTTCTCAGTCACATATCTAAAGTATATGTTAGCAGTGGCTCAGATTGGACCTCATGCATGAATCGGTTATACACACAGATTTAATCTTAAATTGTATGCGAGAACAAATTAAGAATTTATGAAGCATTCAAAAATACTTGGGCTGTCCTGTTAGGTAAGATTAAGATTAGGTCGTCTGTTACCTAAATGATAGAACACGGGTCCCTTAAGAAAAAAAGGTTGGAAACCACCACTTAAGCCAATACGTGCAAAAGCCAACTTACGTTTTGTGCTGTGAGATATTAATAATGCTGACAAAGCACTTTACTATATGGAAACGCAGAAGAATTGCTTAAATGTTCACATTTATTAAAAAAGATTGTTACTCAGACAGATTCTTCAAAACCTGAGTGCCGTTCTCGAGCCGCAACTTAGAGACAAAACAATGTAATGTCACCACATCATCTGCAAGTACTCACCACTATCGGTTTCCTGGCTACTGGAACCTCCCAGAGAGAGATTGATGATAGGTCTGGCATGTTTCCCAGTCTTCTGTTTGTTGTGCGCTCCCAAAAGTTCCCCAGTAACACCACCGTCATTCGGTTTCCATAGAACGCTGCTCAGCAGACCAGATAAATTGACTCTTGTGCATCAAGCCACCATCTCCAAATCTGTTCCCCTTCCTCAATAATAAACAGGAACATTGTGGCCCGCTGTCCGGGGGGGGATGACAGCATTGCTACCCCAACAGAGAAACTCCTCCCATTGACAGCTCCTATGTGCTTCTCCATGTCTGTTGAATTGATTTTGTGGTTTGCACGTGGCACTTTTTAAGATCAATTGCTATTCATGAACACAGTCAGTCACTGCTAATGTGACCATTTATTAAGATGTACGTTTTAGATTGTGTCACCCTGTAACGTGTGTTTGTGTTTGATCCCCTTCCTCAGAACGGTGTGCTGCTGAGGACTGTGCTGGACCCAGTGACGGGTGACCTGTCCGATACCAGAACACGATACCTGGGGTCTCGACCCGTCAAGCTCTTCAGAGTCAGGATGCAGGGACAGGAAGCTGTATGTGACTCAAACATTTACATATCAATACACACAAAAAGTGCTTCTGATATAACTAACTTCATTACGAAACAGTACATTTGTTTGCTGTGAAATTGAAAGTATTTTGACTTAAGTCAGAAATTTGTATTTTTTGTCAATTTAAAGATAGAATCATCATGAGATGAATCATATATTGTCTGTCTCTCTCACTGACAGGTGTTGGCAATGTCCAGTCGGTCCTGGCTCAGCTACTCGTACCAGTCTCGCTTCCATCTGACCCCTCTGTCATATGAGACTCTGGAGTACGCCTCTGGCTTTGCATCCGAGCAATGCCCCGAAGGCATAGTGGCCATTTCCACCAACACACTGAGGTATGGACACACATTGCAACAGTTACATTGACATGTTAGCATACAACAGGGGCAGGCTTATTTGTCATATTAAAGGTCCACTGTGGAACATTTAGGTGGATCCAAACATGTCTGACAAAACTGTGGCAAATTTGAAAGTAGCAATTCTCTTGTGCTGCATCTCAATAATCTCAAAAATATCAATACACATCTGGAGATGCAAAGTGGACACCACAGGACTTGTAATTGTCCAGCTTTGGTTGTTTGTGTGTTCATCTGTACATTTCTGAAGAGGGTAGAGATTGCAAATGATGAAGACTGAAGCAGCAGGTTGAAGACTGTTGCTTTCTGTCTCTGTGATAGAAATAAAAAGTAAATCAAAAGAAACTTCAGTTATAGATTGAATGCACCACATTTCCTGACTGATGTACGACACATGCAACCAGTGTTGTGACTTTGATCCCACATTCAACAGAGATCCCAGGTTGACTTGAGAGCGGACAGAGGAGCTCAGTAGAAGCATAAACAATCTTTAGAGCTCAGCTGTACCACTCCAGTTGAAAATGATTTGTAACTGTCTCCTCCTCCACTCTTCTCCTCTCACCGTCTGACAGAATCTTGGCTTTGGAGAAGTTAGGAGCCGTCTTCAACCAGGTGGCCTTTCCTCTGCAGTACACTCCCAGGAAATTTGTAATCCACCCAGAGACCAACAACCTCATTTTGATCGAGACGGACCACAATGCCTACACTGAGGCAACCAAAGCTCAGAGAAAGCAACAGATGGCTGAGGTATGAAGTGCAACATCAGCTGCTCCTGATTCCCAACCGTAATACACTTATTGTGGTCTCTTGCTTGGCTCTCATTATATTGTTACAGGCTAGAGTTTAAATAGAAAGACTTGATCATTTCTACCTTGCTGTACCTTTGTGTCTCCTGGGAGAGCGCTCCACTATCAGTATCCTTTGGGTTTTCTGTGGAACGGGTTTAGGTCCCGCCTGTGAAGGACTCTGCTGACCTTTTGCCCATAAACAGGCCTTTAACAGACAGACTACACAAAGACATGAGAGCGAGCCTTCATGGTGTTTTTTTTTTATGTAAGGCTGGCCATGTAGAGTTCAGAGACCACCAGTGGGACACCTTTTTGACATCTCAGTAATTTTAGCCTCGCCCTGATTGTAGTTTAGTGCTTCTGTCGTAGAGATTGATTGTGGTCAGACTAGGGGAAGTTGGGTTTAGCCAAGGGTCAGTTTTTACAGATTTATAGACGCAGGGAAGACTAAGTGGCTAATTTGGCAAGGCTTGCAAAAGAGATCTTAATCTCAATGAGAATATTTAAATGAGTGGAAGTCAGTTTCATTTTGATTTAATTTCATTTAAATAGCTACAGGATATACGTGAAATTTGGCTAAACGTGAAACCAGCCACATTTGGCCCAGGGTTATGTATGCTTTGCCATACATACACATGAAGACTGCAACTTAATTAATTGATTAATCCCAGTTTCTTATTGTCTAGGGTGTCAACTTTAGATGGCTGTTTAAACCACAAACATCTTCTATTTAAACTGCTATACAACAGAGAAAAGCAGCAGATTCTTACAAAGACAAGCTGGAACCAGTAAATGTTTGTCATTTATGCTTGACTGGACCGATTAACAAAATAGTAATCAATTTTCTGTCGACAGACTAATGTTTCAGCTGTAGTATACATATGAGCAGGGAGGAGGACAGCAAAATATATCACTGCATCCATGCCTTTACAAATAAAATGGTGTGAATGAGGTGGAAACAGGTCAAAAGTCAGGTAGATAATGTTGATAAAAAAGAGCAACTCCCTCATAGCATGTTCCATTGAATGCATCAGTCAACTGGTAATGGGGAAAAGATGGCTCTTGTTTAAAATGCTGTGGCATCCCTTCCGCTGACCCACTGTGTTCTTTGTACTGCCGTTGCCTCTGCAGGAGATGGTGGAGGCTGCTGGTGAAGATGAAAGAGAACTGGCTGCTGAGATGGCTGCTGCCTTCCTCAACGAAAATCTCCCAGAAGCTATATTTGGTGCACCCAAAGCTGGAGCCGGACAGTGGGCCTCACTGGTGCGTCTCGTCAACCCCATACAGGGTTCAACCCTGGACCAGGTGCAGCTGGAACAGAACGAAGCTGCATTTAGGTGAGCGGGTTCAATTTCATGGCTTCACACAAGTGGAAAATAATAGCATTCAGATGAGGAATGGATGAACAGTCCGCTGGGTAGAAAAAAGGAAGGGGTGTGAATCAAACCATAAACAACACTCAGTGCCGTAGTGTGTAGAGTATAGGGTATGGACTCCCCCCTGAAAGCCGGTTCTGAATATAAACTGGTTCTATATTTGGTAAGAACCTGGCATTGTGTTTGTGGTTTTGTTCATTTTTGTGGCTATGTGGTATGCACTAACTATATTGGAGAAACATAGTACCCAGAGTATGTTTAAAGTCAGCTTGAGTAAGATTAGGAGAGTAAAAAACATAGTTTTGGGGCAATTTATAGCCGAGTATGCAGCCTCTCCATATTTCTGACACACTACCGCTTTGGGGTCACCTGCTATAAAAGCTTGATTTGGTACAGATGGCTGAGAGGGACCATATATATATATATATATATATATATATATATATATTTATATATATATATATATATATATATATATATATATATATATATATATATATATATATATATATATATATATTATATATTTTATATATATATATTATATAATATATATATATATATTATATATATAATATATATATATATATATATATATATATATATATATAATATATTCAAAACACTGTACAATGGACAGTTTAAAAAGGGCAGAAAGGTAAAAAGATCCCTCTGAGCAGCAATTAAATAAGAATATAAGAAGTCCCCACTGTTCACTGGTAAAACAAATTGGAAGATTGGCATCAAAATCTGCACAGATTGAAATACATTTTAACATGTATAATAAATATTTATTTAATTCTTCTTTCGGGGGCCCAAAACTATATCACATGTCATTAATACATTTTATTGTTTATACTGAATTATACTGTTTTTATTCATATTAAAATATCATTATTGAAGAAAAACATCAATATATAACAGGTGACCCCAAACCTTTGAGCCGTAGTGTAGACATAAACTTACATTAGTTTTCTGAAGACTTACCCTAAACATAACCCACTGACCCAAAACATTTTCCAAATCAGGGACATGGCTTTTATCCCCAATTACACAAGCCGTTCCCATTTAACTGGCCTTTAGTCTAAAATGTGCCATCAAAGGTAGCCTAAGCAATAAAGCAAAAACAGAACTGTTTACCTTAGTTAGATACATCTTGTAGACTTTTCTGGCTGAGATGGCAGCTCCAGGCTTTACCTTCCAGGGAGTGAATCCACATCAGCAGAGAGACAGTGAATCAGTGACTGTGGTTTCTAGGTAGATATTATTGAGACGTTGCTGTTGTAAACAATAGTGTTGCTACTCAAGAAACAATATTTTGTTTTGTTAAAAATCTTAATACATTCAAATCTGTTTTTTTAATGTAGTATTTATGCTGATATGGATTATCAATAAGAGTAGTAGTATTGATAAAAATCCTCAAAATATTTATCCCAAGTATAAATTAAGTGTAATTGTCTGAAGCAGAAGGTTTGAGATTATGAAAGAATGGGGGGAAAGAATAAGGAAGTTGTTGGAGTGGCATGATAAAACTACGACACCGAGGTCAGCCTTCTGTTTAATGAGTGGGGGTGTTTGTTTACAGATGGTTGTAGTGAAGCTTTAGTTGTTACGAAAGGATTTATAAACAGGAAGGAGGGGAACTGAAGAGAGTGAAAGGATGAGCAGAGATTAGGGAGGGTCAGCGTCCAATAAAACAACTGTTCAGTGTGAAGGCACTCGATGCTGAAGAAAAGGTTCCACTTGATAATTGTCATAGCTCTGAGTTGTGGGTGGTGTGTGGGTGTGGTGGAGGGGGTAAATGAGGTAATGCTGTCCAGAGCCTGACCCTTGAGTGCTTCCTGTTTATTACGCTTTTCACATTGTTTGACAGTCAGTGTCCAAAACTCCCAGCATCTCATAAATTCTGAGTGTTTCCTGACTGAAGTTGACCGAAAGCTGAGAGACCTGCTCAGAGGATCTTTTTTTAAAATGTCATATTTTTTAGTTATGTTATGATGGATTGGATAATTCAGAAGAGAGAACTAGTATTGCCCTTATTTTACAAGCAAAAAAAAAAAAACACCTGTCAGCAGCTAGTCCTTCGACAAAGCCAAAAATACAACCGCAACCGCCTCTGAGCCAAAGACATCAATCAGAAACGTATGGTGTCTATTGCTCTTGACAGCTAGCTGTTCTCATTCCTTTCAAGATGTCGGGATTTATGGACTACGATGTGCAACATGCTATATGAGCAATGTGAATATATACATTTATTTTATGTCTGTATCTGCAAGTGGCCCATCCCAATAATAAGTATGTGCCTCTGTTGACTTTCTATAGCAGTATTGTTTATAGATTCACCCCAAAAAACACAAAATACTCAATAACCAAAGAGCTAATGGAACAATCGAAACGAAAACACTGAATTTGTCAGAAAAGAAGCCTATTAAGGTTGTATGAATATAAAATAGAATAAAAAAAATCTGAACACGGACAGAACATTGTATTAGAAGTTCTCATCTCTACGGAGCCCCTAAAGGGACATGGGGAAAAAAAAAAAATGAAACGTTTCCAGTGCGCACTAGATACTATCTTGTGCGCACTAGATCCCTATCTAGTGCTCACTAGAAACGTTTCATTTTTTTTTTTTTTTTCATGTCCCTTTAGGGGCTCCGTACATCTCTGATCAATATTCACAGGAAATAATCTGCTCAAAAATTCACCCAAATTGTTCATGTGCCACTTATTAGGAAGATACAAGCATCGCAGTCTTGGATAACAAGAAATATTACCCTGTGTCTTCAGAACATGTATTTTATCTAGCGTAGATTTATGCATAGTAAGCAGGCAGCTTCCACACATATCATTACAGCATATTGTTTTGCTTACCCTGTAGCAGCATCAAATGCATAATGATTAGTGGAACTATGTCCCATCTTGTTTTAAGTAAACTGGCACAAGAGCCCATATCTAACATCTCCTTTCCTTTCCCTGTGTTTCAGTGTTGCAGTGTGTCGCTTCCCCAACACAGGAGATGATTGGTATGTTCTGGTGGGCGTTGCCAGAGACATGATTCTCAACCCCAGATCAGTGAGCGGCGGCTTTATCTACACCTATCGGCTCATCGGTGGAGGGGAGAAGCTGGAGTTTGTGCACAAGGTGGGTGTCACACTTAAATGGAATCATATTTAGAAAGTACTTTAAGTTCCTGAATTGCATCCTACTCAGTCACTCACTCACTCACTCATGCACAGACAGGTGCAAAAAAATTGTAGCTGCTGTTCTTTGTTTGCCTGTAGGTGGCGACATTGGTGCGTTTACACAGTGTGCAGGTGTATACCGCTGCTGCTATTGCCTGTCTTGCTAATAGGCAGTGCAGGTCCAGAACATGTAGATCAGGAGCTGGGTGATTGCAGCTGAGCCTGGCTTTAAAGCGAAGGTTGCGGTTCTGCAATTAAAGCCTGACTAAGAAAAGAATGCGCAGTGTGAAAAGGAAATCTCTATATCTACCTCTACCCCTTGATTTTTCTTCGGGGGGATTTGGGATCATGTCACATTACCATTAAGTTTGGGCCAGAGGGTGTTAATTGTCTGGGAAAACTGCTCTGTTATTGAAATGTGTGTTAGCAGGTCACAGTTTGAGATGGATGCTGAGATTAGGACTAGGAGAGATAAAGAGGAGAGAGAGAAAGGTCTTCAAAGTGCAGCAGGCAAGGCAGCCTCCAGTAAGGTTTTAATGACCCCAAACACAGATGCTGCTGCCCCTGGCGCCAAAGCACTGCTCCCCGGGCAATTCCCCAGAAACACGAGCAGGGTGGAGACCATCAGGGTGAATCAGCCTACATACATTTGTTACCTGATGTGGATTAACAAGGGAAGTGAGTCATGCGTGTTGTGTTGCCCAGTGGTGTCAACCACTTCTTTTCACGTTAGAGGAATTTCCCAACCACTTAACCAGATCAGATATTTTAGATGAGTCTATCTGGTCTAAACACACATATATTTCTATTTTTTTTTCCCACTGATGCACATACACATGCATATGGATACGCAGATAGAAGCCCGATAGAGGCCAATATCTGACCACAGACACTGTCATGGGCACACAGAGGTGTAGACACTGTGGTGACTGGTAGTTCTGGATCTGGATATTCTTTTTAACAATGATGCCTCTAAATCCTGGACCTCACTGGACCTTTGACTCACAACATTTGCATTAACCAAACAAGATCCAAGTTTACTGTTGCAGACTTGCAGAATGTCGTCTTCACTCTTCAGTCTAAGTCCAGGTGTTCCTAAGACCTAATGCAGCAGTCCGTAAAACCTCCAGTCTGAAGTGAGTTGTAAAGGATCAGCTACACAGTGACTGAAGTCAAATCCATTCCCCTCGTTACAGACATACCATCCTTTGTGGCTCAACATTATTTGACAGGATTTATGTTTAGGATGTCAGGACTTAGCAGAACAATTAACTTGTGGTGCTTCAAAGTAATAACGGGCCTGTTTTAGGGCCATACAAAAAGCATAGACTGTTTACTTGACTGGGCTTGTCTGCTCACTTCCCAGACCTCACTGAACATCACAAGACACTATTGGATAATCTCCAGACAAATTTTGACTTGTGACCACTGTAACCTTGTTTGAAAAATATAATTTACCAAAATGCTTTTAAATGTTTGTAAGAGGTAATGACTTTTTGATAGTCATAAGCCGTACTTTTAAAAATAAAACCCACCAACATGAATTTAGTTTTTTGTTTTGGAGATGTATTAAACGATTGGATATCCCTGTACTTAGTAATTACTATAGTCTTCAGAAAATCCTGTTAAATTTTCACTTTTGCTCTTTGATTTTAATTTCTTCAACACAGAAAATTGGAATGCTGGAAATGATTTGATTGTAAGATTTAAGTTCATCGGCATGGTTTCCTATCACAACGACACAAGTGATTATATTATCTCTTGCGTGTGAAGGACGCAGTGTTTATGCGGACAGGTACATTATATTTGAGGAATGCTGCGTTTGATCTTTTATTCACATTTAAAAACTCATGCAAAAGATTTTTGTGAGACATTGGACTCTTCTTCTCCCTCTTAATAAATATGAGCTGTTTCCTTGTAGGCAAACCTGCCGCATCTCAACCTAAAATCTCCTAAAAGCTGCCCAAAGTAATGAGATTACCTACGGTTTATTGATCTGTTGTGTTGTGATTGTCAGACCCCCGTAGAGGACGTCCCTCTGGCCATTGCTCCATTCCAGGGACGAGTCCTGGTGGGAGTTGGGAAACTGCTGAGAATCTACGACCTGGGCAAAAAGAAGCTGCTTCGCAAGTGTGAAAACAAGGTAAGAAAAGGGCCCAAATACACACGTATCTATGCACCTAATGTAGCCCCATGCTCCATGAGCTTTAACAGCTTTCCCTAATACACAACTTGACTAATGTATAAGTGTTATTTCGCTTTGTGCGCAATGTTGTTGCTTCCTTGTTTTGATTTCTAAAAGACTGTAGATCTTCTGTCGGGTAGGATACAGGGTTTCCGTGGGACTCCTAAAAATTACTAAAATGACTAAAGTTAACATTACTTGTATAAAGTAGCATTTTTTAAGTCTTGCTTTTAAATCTTCTTTTTTGCCATTATGAACATAGGTCTTAAATTGCCTTTAATATGGGCTTAAAAAGTCTTACATTAAACCAGTGGACACCTTTAGAAACCCTGTTTAAACCCCGAGTTCAGTCCAGTTCGGTTATTTTGGGTAAACTGATAATATTAACATTTTCTGCCATAGTCTGACCCAGAGCACATTACTGCTGCAGTGATACATTTCGTTATGTAAGTGACCAGGCTTGAGGTTAAATCATAAGAAACCTGGTTCAGGGTAATTATGGTCAAATAATTAGGTTTCTCAATCGTGAATCTACCTGTATTAACCACATTTATCTTAATGACATAAAGTGATAAACTGAGCTCCAGTACAGGTAAATGCAGTATATAGGATTAAAGTTGATCTTTGCCTTTTTGAAAACTAAATAAACCATTGATTCATTGTCTGCAGGCAACCTCAATTTGTTTGCCAATAAATTTCAATAGAGATGAATCTGGATTGTTTCTGGCTTCCTGTGAAGACAAAGATGTTGTTTTTATCTGACACAACATCAGCGGCTTAAATCAGTTTGAATTGTTTAATGCGGTAATAAGTCTCCTGCTCTTTCACCTCTTTCTTTGTAGATATAATTCTGAAGTACGTCAACTTAAAATGAATCACATCAAAGGTGCACGGTCTTATAAGGACAAGTGCCTGCTTTTAGAATGAACAACTCTCTTCAAGGATCGTTGTAATAACTGACTGTTAGCCGGGTCACATTCATGTATTGATATGTGGATGTCTCCCTTTTTGTTTGCAGATGTTTTGTGTTTGTGAATTAAGTTATGTCACTGATGGTTGCCAGAACATACAAGTAACACAAGTTTCTGAGCACTAGTTGTGCCGAAGAGCAATGTTTTAATGAGTTTTCAACGACTTTCTATGTCATTTGTATCTTAATCTGTAATCTATTTTCGGAGTGTTGTTATGCAACAGTGGGTGGTGAAAATGTTTTAAAAAAGTAGCCTACAGCGATGTTCACAAGGTACCACATACACACACGTGTATAGTTCGGCCTCTGTTAATAATTTTAGAAGTAGTTCAGGACCTGCTCTATGTGAAAAGTGTCCTGAGATAACTTGGGTTAAGATTTGGGGCTATACACATAAAATTGAATTAAATAGAGTTGGAACACCGTTTAAGTGGAGTAATGTGGCGCCGTACACCATCTGAGGACCCACATTGCTTATGTCCTTCCAAAACTACAAAGTCTGTAACTGAATCAATTTCAATGATATAGGCAAAAGGAACAATGAACAGTGTTGTCTTCCTCCACAACCAAGTTATTATAGTTTTGTATTTTTCATTTATTTTTGTTTTGTTTCCAAAGTGGGGTTTGCTATTTTCACTTTAGTTTCTATTGTTTAAAAATGTTTTAGTTTAGAGGTTTTATTGTTTGAATTATTATAACAAGGAGGGCATTTGGCAGGGGCAGGATTTAAGAAGTTCAGAATCTGTAGTGTACAATACAAACTTATTGACTGACAGTCATGTAGACATCCCAGTCTCAACAGATAACAGGTAACAGACAAAAACTATAGACATTTCCTGTGTATTTGTATTTGATTCTAGTTACGTTTGTAAGTATAAAATATATTTTCAGTTAACTAAAATGCTTTTTCACACCTGGTTTTAGTTAACGGTAATAACCTTGATACACCGTATACACGTGTCATGTCTTTTTGATTGTACTTCATAGAGTGTACTTTATTGCTCTCCTCTTCAGCACGTTCCCAACCTGGTATCCAGCATCCATACCATCGGCCAGCGTGTGATAGTTACTGACGTTCAGGAGAGCCTGTTCTGGGTTCGTTACAGACGCAACGAGAACCAGCTCATCATCTTCGCTGACGACACGTATCCCCGCTGGGTGACCACGGCCTGTCTGCTCGACTACGACACCATGGCCTCCGCTGACAAGTTTGGCAACATCAGCATTGTAAGTGTGGGGACGAGGAGTGTCTCGTGTGTGTTTGTCTGACTTGTATTGAATGGCAGGCAAAGAATACAGTGGAATACATTGTCAAATCAGTGAATCATTATATGAGGCATCAGATTATGCGCAACTGCCTCTTTGTGGCATTAGAATCAAAAACCTCTATGGAAAACGTAACAAAATAAAGAAATACATGTCTTAATTTTCTGTTGAATCTTCTCAGGTGCGTCTGCCCCCCAACACTAGTGATGATGTGGATGAAGACCCCACAGGGAACAAGGCTTTATGGGACAGAGGCCTCCTTAATGGAGCATCACAGAAGGTAAAGCTATCGTTCTCAAACCCATTTAAGGTTTCTTAAAGCAACAGGTCACATCTTTAGCATGTACTATAGGTACAGGTACCTGAATTAAATGCAAATACAAGATTTTTGTTTTCTGTTTCACTGGTCACGCCAGCAGGTGTTTTAGAGGTCTTCAACTCTAAAAAAGCCTGACAGAACAAGTCAGCCGTAACATGTTTTGTCTGGCCTGTTTCCAGGGTTGTCTTGAGTAGTTGGACCTAAAAAGTCAAATATTAGTTCAGATATTAAATTAGTAACGGTACAAAGCATACAAAATACATACCTGTGTTTCCCATTCATAGGCTTACTTTGGTGGGCCGTCCAGGTATATTAATGGCCGCCCAAGTACACTTGGTGACCCACCACTACGAGAGAAAGATGCCATCCGCGATTAACTGTTTAACAGTCCCTCCTCACTCTGTCCCTCTCGTCATCTACAGTCTACTGATAATCGCACATTTCCTTGTACCGTTGACCCTGTGTTTAACTTACATATGACACATAGAATTGAACCAGGTAAAGCAACAGTGGACAAACCACGTTGGTCTCGATCAATTCGATATGATACGTCATTAACAGCAAGCCGTCCTCCACATGTGGCATATCTGATGTTGTGAATCGCTGGTGAAAAAGTTGTTTGGGCGACTGTGTAAACCATGCTGAGTGTAGAGCCACTGAGCCAGCGACAGTATTTGACAGGTTGGGACTGAGAGTAGCGGGACAGGGAGACGGAAAGAGGCGCGGCAATACGGTGTGTGAGTGGAAAAGAGAAAAGCGAGGTGAGAATAGTTTTAAGTACACAATTCAAATAAGATAAATAAATCTTAAATTTTAGGTCCTGTTGTCACATGTCGTGCCACCCAATACTACAAGTAAATTCCTTAGCCTTTGGGGAAACACTGCATACAAATACAACTTTGACCTGGAACAGCCAATAAAGCAACACCAGCAGTGTCTTAATTGCACACCTCAACCTTCATGTGTGCCTTTTTTTTTTTTTAAGACTGACCTCTCACACTTATGTGCAAGACCGAGAGCGACGGTAATGCAGAGAAAGCAGAAGTCAGTTGCCTCAGGCATCCAGATGTGTTTCAGGAAGAGACGTTGTGTTTTCTGTCAACTGCTTGCTGGGCAACTCTAAATGATTCATGCCGGCTACAGCCAGGATGTCAGGCCTGTGCTGGACTCTGGCCTGATTCGGACCTCCAACCGCCAACGTGCAGACACACAAACTGCATAACACCATCAACCACAAGTTTAACCTACTCAGAAATGCAAGTGTGTGTGTACACACACACACAAAGTCACACAGATTGGAGAAACACACACAGTATCACTCATCCCATATTTAAATTCTGGTCAAAAACTGTTTAGGTAGCAGATCGACTGGGAAAGTCCCTCCAATTTAGACATGAGTTGGTCCCAGTTGTCTTTGTGACAGTGTTTGTCAGCTATTTCTGCCTCCGTGCACATTGATTGAGAATTTCGAGTTTGGAAATGTACCGTGTCTGTTTTTAGATGTGGGTGTGGATGCCTGGATTTATCCTTGTCCAAAATTTTGTGTGTGTGTGTTTGCATCTGCATCTGCATCTGCATCTGCATCTGGCTGGATGAACTTAATTATCCATACATGGCTCGGCTGTCTTACATTAAATTAGATGCATTCCACTTTGATTGGATTAATGTATCTGAAAAGATCAAGGTCAGGGAGTCGCAGCTGTCTGTCGAGCCAAATGAAAGGTTTGACTGTCTTAACCCGAAATGTCAGAGTGAGGGTGATTTCTGTCATGTTGTTTCTAACAGTCTCTTTTGATTTTTATTCAGTTCAGCAAAGTTTTTTTGACATTATAAAGTTCACATCAATACAGCTGAGGTCAAAAGGTTTTAAATGAACCACACAATGATACTCTTGCACACTTGGAGATAATCGATACCTATTGATATGTTTATTTAATGTTCATGCCCCCTAAAATGTCAGACCTTGGCTTTTCTGACTTGTATCTGTACAAAGTTACTCTACTGAAGGGGGATGAACGACATAAACAAATAAAAGACACTTAACTGCACTTTCCTTTCTGATTATCTGCTAGTGACATGTGGTGCAGGTTTTTTTTTTTTCTCTGATTAAATGATTGAGGAAAACTTCTATTACAGAAATATTCACCTTTTTGGCTTCTTTCATAAATTTATTGACGGTTTTCTTTCAGCTCTTATGTACTTTCTTACTACAATAAGTAAAACCGACCTATATTCTTAAATATGCACAAAGAATAGAGCAATGTATGACACTACTGTAGTCACACTAAACAACCGTTGCATCCTTGGTGTTAAATTCCTCACATCCCCCCCCCGTGGACACAACTTGTGGTCTTGGCTAAATGACTATTTCGGGTACTGTTCTGGTCACACGCCTGCTAGGTGCAAGTGTTTGACCAGCACTTAGGGAGTTCTTCCCCTCCCCGAGGCAGCATTAGCTGCTGCTGACTTAATTTCCTCAGCTCCTTAACACCTAAGGAACAAAAACCTCTTGTGAGTCTTGTGTTCAACTGCTTGGCCTTTTATGGCTTGATGTGACATTTCCACTATCTTGGAATCCCCCAGTGGAAACCATATGCCTCATTTATTCTCAGCATAATGGAGACCATTCAAAGGGAGCAGTTTGTAACCAGGACAAGATGATGGGTTGTATAAACTCTGATTTGGGGGGGAAGTGCCAGTAGGGCAGCTTCAGTCAGCCAGCAGACCACTGCAGATGTTTCATTATTTATGTATTGTGTATTTATTCATTGGTCTTCAAGGGTCTGACAAATTCTGGATTTTTTTATTTTTTATTTATTTTAATTTTTTTCTGAAATGGATAAATTGGAGATCTGCACCATCTTCATACAGTTCAGCTGAGTTCTGGCCAAATGCAGGCAATAGACTACTGACTTTCATGATCCTCTGACTTTACCTCTAGCGCTACCATTGTGGTTTTGAGCTGCATAATTAATTGAGAAGATATCAATCACAAAATGGCCGTGTGCAATATCCAAATCGCAGAAGCTGGAATTTTTTGATGAAGGTAAAATGAGACTAAACAACATTATAATGAAGTTCTGTAGTGCTGCGGACACAGAACATATTTTGAAAATGTTTTTAATAGAACAAAATAAACCTGTATAGTTATTTATGTACATGCACATATACAGCCAGACAGTAATAATCGTGTCGAGCATTGTTTGCATTGGCGTCTGGGGGAATGTAAACAGCGGCAACAAAATGTTTCCTCTTCTGGGAAACATTGTCCATAAACTTGGACTACGTTTGAGCACCAAGCCTCATTGACATAAACACTGTCAACCTCCCCTCATCTTGCGGCAGTCTCGCCTTCTGTCACAGAACACCACCCACCCGTAGAGTGTGAAGTTTGATCCTGGATGTTGTGATGGAACCAGGTTATTTTCCTGCAACGGGACATTAGCCAGGAGTAGGCTTTGTAGTGGAGTAGCCTGAGGCCCAGGCTGGGTCAGTTTAGCTCTCAACCTAAGCTTCCCGCCTGCAGCCGCGCCTAATTGCCCTGATCGGCTGGGTGGTCAGAAGATGCCGTGTGCAGTGGTGATCTCAAGGTCCGCTGCACTTAATCCAATCCATCCGAGAGAAGCGGTGCACTGTACATGTCTGGCTCACTTGTGTCTGGGTCACAGAGTTTATTTTAAGTTAGCTTCTGCTTGTTGTGGTCCCATGGCGTCTGTGTCATGTATAACCTGTATGAAGTTTGCTCAGACCAATACTGAGGCTTTATTGCTCCCCAATGCTGCCTTTGTATCCAAGGCACATCCTGATTATTACCTCTAATTGTTGGCAAAGCAGTTTTTTAATGGTTATTGGATTAGATCTGACCATCCGGACTCATTTTCTCTAAGCATTAGATGACAGTGTGCGTCTTCTCTCCGACCTTGGCTGCTGTTCCTGTACTTAATACATATGTGCAGCTGTCAGGACGGATGATCTCGGGACCTCAAATGTCTTCAATAACATCTCTGACTTGTTTATTTTATGATCTGATTTCTCGGCTTTACTGAGCTTGTTGTAATTTTCCATTGTAGATGTTCATAGTCACTGAGAGGAAATCAAGATGTCATTGAAATAGTTGCGTGTGTGTATTTCTGCTTATAAATCAGACATTTCCCAATACTATGAAGACAATAACCACATTTCAGCACCTACGTTGTGTTCATACTTTCGGATTGTGACCAAATTTTTCTATTGTTCAGTGCCAAAAAAAATCCCCTTTACATTCCCTGTGATTCAGTGCCGTAGAAAATAAAAGAAGGGTGCTGGCTGACACTTTACAACCACATATGTGAGACCTTTTGTGTGTCTGGACTGGGCGTTATGCCAGGATTAGTAACATGTCTCCATCTTGCATCCGAGCCCTGCATGGCTGCGCAGTTTAAACACACATTAGTTAGCCGAGCAATCCGTGCAGGCAGGTTTCAGTTTCAGTCCTGGTCCTGCCAGTCGCCTTGTATCACCTGCACTCGAGCACCATCAGCATCTGATTATTGGGTTTTAGAGGCACAATTTGAATTAATTTTTTTTTTTTTAAATTTTATTTCTAGCATTAAGTGTTGCCATCGATCTGTTTGTGTCTCGGGCTGAAGTGATCATGAATGTCACTCTAGGGAACGTCAATCCTACTAGACAACAATATCAAATGACTGCCTTTCTCTCCCTTTATTGTCTCTCCAGGCTGAGGTGGTAGTGAATTACCACGTAGGAGAGACGGTGTTATCTCTCCAGAAAACCACACTGATCCCTGGAGGTTCAGAGTCCCTGGTCTACACCACTCTGTCCGGAGGCATCGGCATACTGGTCCCGTTCACCTCGCACGAGGTAATAACACAAACCATTTCATGATATTTCATTTAAAATGTTTAAAATGCTTCTGGTCTCCCTGTTTTTCCCTGCTCTTGTTTTTCATCGAGCCTTTATTTCTTGTCTTTTTGTCCAGGACCATGACTTCTTCCAGCATTTAGAGATGCATATGCGCTCTGAGTTCCCTCCACTGTGCGGCAGAGACCATCTCAGCTTTAGATCTTACTACTTCCCGGTCAAGGTTGGTATCTATATGTCTCTGTCTGTGGATCTGTTGTCTTCTTTCAGAGTCACATATCAGCATCACGGACTACTAAAACAATACGTTGTGGATTCTCTCTGTTTTTCTCTCCAGAATGTGATTGATGGAGATCTGTGTGAGCAGTTTAACAGCATGGACCCTCACAAGCAGAAGAGCGTGGCAGAAGAGCTGGACAGAACGCCACCCGAGGTCTCTAAGAAACTGGAGGACATTCGCACTCGATACGCGTTCTAAATCGCACACCTTCATACAGTACTTGCGGATAGAGAGGCGCTCATTAGGACCACTACACACACACACACACACACACACAAACTGGTCCACAGTACGAGCCTTTAAGGACGCAGATTGACAGTATGGATTGTTATATGGCAGACAGACTGTGGGCGAACCCCGTATTGTGTGGAAACATACCACCGGACGTCACAAGCCTGCATTTCCAGTACGTTGCTCAATTATAGCACCTCATCCGAAACAAATACCTGCATTCAATAACGAGAACATCACCCACATGACTGTCGACTGCCTTGCCGTCATCACACCACGTACATACTTACTGCCTCAGTTACTGAGAACTTTGTGCAAGTTTTTCACACCTCATGTGTGCCGTTGAATCAGTAGAAACCACGCACACACATGCACACGCATACACAGGCAGCCAGATAAAGACGACATTCGATGGAAACATGACAGGAAGTCTCGGCGAGTAGCCCTCTTACCTTGCGACATTGTGTTCCCACAGTCTGCTGCGAACTCCATTGTCACCCAAGCACAGCTGTGATGAGTAACACACACACACACACACACACACACACACACACACACACACACACACACACACACACACAGAGCTGTGTGAACAGAATTCACACGCACCCCGATGGCGTGAAGAGCAACCGCGCTGTCATCTGCACCGTCATACTGAGCCCAAATCATCTGTCATCGTCCGCGAGCGAGTGAATACATTTTAATTTAAAAGCCTTTCAGCTCACGCCAAGCAGAAAAGTCACACGGACACAACTTGTTGAGATCGATGTCACGCTTTCTGGACAGAAGACCCCTGAAAGCTGAGAAAATTTTTTAGTCTGTTGTTTAGCAAGTTTGTGTGTCCTCAAAAAATTAAACATGTTTTTGTATGCTATGATTTTTTAAATGTGTTTTCATTAGAATGATCTGTTCCGAATATACCACGCTCCAAGATGGTATTATTAAATCTTTCTTAGCCCCCTCGCCTACCTGTGTGTTTGATAACCTGTCGGCCCCCCCAGGCTCATTAAAGCATATTGCTTACTTGCAACTGGGAACCCAACAGAAGCGGAACCTCTAACCCACTGTAAGCCTCAGGCCACGGTTTGAGAAGTGTTGCCATACTGCGGCATTAGACGACGGCTGAACTCAGACTAAATAAGTGGGTGGAAGAACACTGAAGGTTTGCACTGGGTGTTGTTCTTCTCAGTCCTGTAAATTCCCAACCTCAGCCACAGACATAGCATTCCTCAGTAGTCACTGAATTTAGGGGTTTGTGGGAATGGGGGCAGTGGTCTGTTTTTGTAAATAAAGTTGTTGTTTTTTGTTCTTTACAATACCGTGTGTTTGTGTGTCACTTCCTGCCACTGTGTGTGTGGAGAACCATCACTCTAGCCAAAGGACTCATGAGTGCATTTGTCTCAATCATTAACACATTACAGGGCCAATATTAAGTTTTGCGGGCCCCCCCCGGGTCATGGCTCAGGATAGGGACAATATTTATTCTGTGTCTCACTTTAAAGTGATGTTGCTTAAATCTGATTCATTTGATTTAGACCCTTTGAGGCAGAACAGTCATGTTACTGTGTGCTAATTGGCTAACACCACATCCTCAAGTCCATGTGTTAACTCAAGTACAGGCTCAACAGTTTAAATGTGCTCAACCGGACAGATGGGAAACGTTTCAGCTGCTGCAGTGAGGTTAGCTGATAGGGGGCCAGCTGTGATGTGTTCATTTGAGTTGGTGTGAAACTCCCTGTACAGAATAAAAAGGGCAGGTTTTTAGCATTTTCTAATAATTATGTTCTCATTAAAACATTTAGTTTTGACAGTAATTGTGTCCTGAAGTAGATTACAGACCGCACGTGCCTGTGTGACCTTTTAAATGTAAGTAAACTGTACTTTTTATATAATGACACCTTTTCATCTTGGAGTTTTTAATTAAAGGAATAATTCAACATTGTGGGAAATGTCTGTTCCCTTTCTTACTGTGAGTTAGAAGATTGATACTCTAATGTTCAATAATTACGAAGCTACATTCAGCAGTTAGAGCTTAGAGACTGAACAGGGGAAAGTGGCAGTTTTCCCACCATCTTTAAAGCTCCGTAATTAAGTCATTATATCTCGGGGCTTAAGTGTTAATGGCAGCTCTGACTGCTGACAATTCCCATGCCTTAGGACAGTGCTTTGGGGTGGGGGGAGTCGCGAGGCCTTCTGGATTTTAAGGGGTGTAAGAAACAATATACACAGCTTAGCTCAGCATTTCTGCAAACAAAACTAAATGAAGTTCATTTAAAAGTTCAGATTATTATTTAAGATCTAAACTTTTAACAGAGCCGTCACTCTCTCAGGCATCTTATTTTGATTTTAAGAAAACCGGATTTTAATCGTCGTAAGTCTGAAATTTATGAGAAAGGACACCATTACCAAGTTTGTGCGGAGTACCAGAAATGTAATATAACTATTAGTGTAACTAATGACTGTTGGCAGGGAATAATACGTCGAGTAATGTTTTTTAGAAACTAGACCAAACACTGGTCTGCCAAAGCAAAGCCGATATCTATAATTACCATTAACCACTTCAATTTAGAACAGCATCATATGAAATGAGGAAAAGATGCTCTAGTGAAGATTGGGATTATATATAGCTTTAAATACACTCAACCTGTCATATATAAATATATATATGTTCCATAAATGTATTGGTCATGTCTATCTAATTATGTGAATTTATCCTGTTAAACTCATGGAGGTTTTTTTATGTCCAGTTGCCTTTTTTCTTTTGTGTTTCTGCTTTATTTTTCTTGAGGTTTAAAAAATGTAAGGATACTTTATTATCATTTACAACAAGGTTGTATAGTTCCCTTCCCCCACTGCTACAACCAAACAAACATATGATGGGCGTATGATACATGTATTGTTTGTTATATAATAATAATTTAAAAAATGAAGCTGATCCTATTAATACGGAAGATGATTGGGGCCAAATGTGAACATTTTATTTGAGTTTAAAGTTAAAAAATAATGAGTTCAAAGTCAGAATCCTAAGTTACGTGTGTTGTTTCGCCTGTATTAATAATTAAACAAATTTAATTCAACTAAGGTTTTAGCATGATAAACCCACTGTTGTGCCTTTCTTTCAGTTTTTCCTCTGTCACAATAAAACATTCTCAGGCTGAAGTGATCACGGTTGTGTTGTACAGCTTGACCCAATGCAGCCTGACAGCTCTGTGCTCTCCATCTGCAGAGACTTACATGTGACAGCCTCGCTGAAGTTGGTTCTCTGTTGACAGCGTTTTAAACTTGCATAACAACAAGAGGATAATGATTTACCACACAGTAGAATAACAAATGCTCAGCTGCAACAAAGTCCTCACATCTGCTCCACTGCCTCTGCACATGTGATGGGTTTCTGCCGCTGTGGGAGAAAAAGCAAAAGAACTTGGCCAGACTAAACTTTCCCACTCAGAACAATGGCACTGCAGAGTTTTCTACAACGATAACCACATGGGCAGCTTTTTTAAAAAATATGTGAAGGACAACAAAACGGGGACCTGTGGTGAATTCTATCCAGAGGAAAGAAACATCTGGATGTATGAAAATGTCCATCCAGGGAAATTACTGGATTCACATGCTTCTTTACCAATTAATTTCAAAATGACTTTATTTTGGAGGGTATGACGGTCCTTAACGTGGCAGCAGCAGTGTACAACCTTGTGACACAGGGACGTAAGTGGATAATAAACCCTGGTTTTGTCAGTTTTTCACTGAAATATTTGACTGGGGATTGACCTCTCCTTCAATCCAACTGACCACATCCTGCTAACATCTGCTTGTTTGACTGTCATTCCACTTAGAACTGATATCTGAACCTTTTCTAGTGGTGGAAAGTTTGAATGAAAAAGCTTGTGTTTTTTTATTTGCTAGTTGTTTCCATTGTAAAACTTAAATAATGCAGCTTATGTACCTATTCCACCCAAAATCAGATAACATCATAGGCTGCCGGTTCTGACTCATGGAAACAACTAAAGAGGTTATTAAAGAGTTCTGATGTATTTACTGAGGCAGGATATTTTACAGTGGTTGATGACAGTAAAAGTACATTTAAAATAACACACCTGCAACACTTTACAGCATACCCAGCGGTTTCTATTTTTACATTTGGCCATATATGCACCAATTTATCGGTAGTCAGGGAGTGTGTGCTGCCTCTGGTCCAACTTAAAACAGATTAAACAGACACTTAATTATAAAAAGTACAATACATAAGCTTAAAAACGCACCCTCGCTAAATTAAATACACTAAAGATTTTTACTGCTACAGCCTTACTTGGTACTTAGTACTACTAGGCAAAATTAATACATTTCAGAATATGTCGAAGTCAGTGTTCAAGGGATCCCTTTAAAAATTGCCATGCCAGTTTTTCCATTGCAAACATTTAGCCTAACTTTGGAGCATGGTTGGTACCAATGGATATGTTAGGCCACCTAGTTTCATATGATACCGGTATCGATTCCAAGCCCGCTACAGCCTCTGAAAGACAGAATGGAAGAGGTTGGGGTGGATTCAGCAGTGGTGCCTCCCCTCCTCTGGACATGCCCCTATACATAAGAGTCCCTTGTGGTCATGCTGTTTTGTAAAAGTTACATACATGTCATGAGCCTCAAACTAAATAACTACTCCAAAACGAAAGTTATGAACCCTGCCAACAATCTAGCATGCTGAACAAAACACACTTTACACAAGGATATCAGTGTATGAATGCAGCTGTCTGTCGCCTGAATAAAAACATGTTCCATCAGATTTTTGTATATCTCAGGGTGTCTCCCTCCTATCAGGCTCCCCTCGTTCATTTATCTCCCATTTCTTTCTTTTTAAATACATGAATAAAAGACAGAATAAGAGAAAGATCCTATAATGTATTTGTTAAATATGACCCGGGAACATCTTACTCTGGTAATAACGTTAAAACCCAAACATGGCGGGACTTTAGTACGTTGTCATGTAATAAATATTTCTGTTTCTTAACAAATTTCAGTATGATTTAGTACCATTTTAAAAGTATGAAGTATATTTTCATAATTGTCGTGATAATATCGTGTATTGAAACATACTTCAATATAAATAAATCATTTAATACATGTGTAAAAGTGTTTGAAGTTTTTGAATTATTTAAGGTTTTTATACCAAGCATTATGGTAGTGGTTGCTTTTTAATGTGCACCAAACCTTTATTATGCACCTTAAACATGGATTAATCTGCAAAAGATCTCAAATTAGACACATTATTATCCATTGATGAATGGATGAATTTTCTTGAGTGGTCCCTGTGTTTAAATAGTTCTTCTGTATTTGTATTTATGTTGTATATGTGATGTATTTTAATAAGTTGCGATTTTGTACGACTGCTACTTTGACCAGATTTTTTGATCTCAGTGGGACTTCCTGGTCAAATAAAATACATTTATTAATGTGAAACGTGAAATAAAATGTTAAATGATAAGGTTTAGCATAATTAAACTGAATAATTGTAGTCATATACGTTCACACACACTAAGCTGACTGTGAAAACCAGAAAAAGAGCTGACTCTCACTGAGTCAAATGATGTGTCTCACTAAAAGGAGCTGGAATTCCCATCACTAAGCGGTGTTAGACTGACTCTGCACTGATGATGTATGTGTGAAGGGGAACTTACAGTGTCTACAGACTGATGCAACACCTTTGGTTACACAAGAGCCTTAAGGGAACTGGTATAGACAAATACTGCAAAATACTGTCAGATTAGCAGCGAAGGATGAAAGATACGTGAAAGCACTTCGGCACCCTTGTTTAGACTATGTCTGGGTGAGGTTCAGGGGTCATGATTCCTGCATAATAGTTTCTCATTAATCACACTGCATTCCTCTGCCACCTCCTGCGTAACTCTTTTTACAGATGCTCAAAGCACCGAACTTTCACCGTAGCTTTAGAGTTGAGTGTCTGTGCTTCAGTACTTCCTGTGTGCTTTTTTTCCTGCAGTGGTTGTTGGTGAAATCTTGGTTCTACTTTGGTCTTTTGTTTTAGTTTAATTGCATAACTCCATTATGATGAAAACCGTCATTATAATTTTTGGCCCTCACTTTGTTTGTGCTTTGTGAGGAGCTATTGCTTAAGGATGATTGGTTCTTTTTTTGGTGTAAATTTAGACTTTTCTTACAGTTGGTGGTTTGTGAATGCTTTAGGTCAGAAATGGGAATATAACATTTCTTAGCAGCAAATGTTAGCATGCTGACATGATAAACTAAGATGGTTTATCATAATCCAACTGTTTCATCAATATTTCTTGATTATGTCATCACAAATTCTTTTTATATGACCTTTATAAGCATTAATGCTAAAATATGTAACATTTTCTGCATTAAAATGTCTATAAACACTGGACCTATGTTATAATGTTATTGAGTTGTGTACCTATATTACCCCAAAGGTTTCCAAAAATGTTTAAAACCAGAGAAATAATCATCATATATTCATCATAAATTCACTTTTTATCCAGTTTTAAGCCCAATTTTTACCATCCACCTTTTAGATTTGGTTGCTTTTAACTTTATATTTTAACTAGACGAGTTAAAAGTTATCAGAAAAACAAGCTGAGCTGAACGTAAGCAGCATCTTGGCTCGCAGCCCCTCCTTATTAAGGTGGAACTGCTTTATTCAGTGTTTTTAGGGGTTTTAATCAGTTTGTTTTGGAGAGGAGGAGACCTCTGTGGATAATTGGGCTCCAGGTAGAAACCTCCTGAACCATGAACACTGAAGGAATCCTAACAGGGAGAAACTGACTGCAATGACGGCAATGGTGGTGAAAACAACTCCCATGATCCTTCGCTGCTTCACAACGTCGCCAAACTTCATCGGCAGAAATTTCCTGCTGTACCTTTAACAGAAACTGCTAACAGTAGCAGCAAGTGTCTCACATGAATACA